TGAAATTGGTGCTTGTTTTAAGTGAGGGGATTCCACAGGACACAGAAGTACCGCAGATGGATGGACTGTGGTCGTTCACATCTCTGTTATCTGGACTTTGCAGCCAGTCTAGCTTATCTCTCCACCTGAGTAATGGAAGTGCCAGAGACACCAAAGGAGGATCATGACTGAGGTTGTGGAGCAGGCTGGCTGTGGTGTTTATCGTTACTGCCAGACAAGGGGACCTGTGTACCTGCAGAATCATAGAATGGTTTGGGTTGGAAGAGACACTTAAAGGTCATATAGTCCATCCCCCTTGCCATGAGCAGGGACATCTGCAACTCCATCAGGTTGCTCAGAGCCCCCTCCAGCCTGACCTGGAATGTTTCCAGGGATGGGGCATCTACCACCTCCCTCGTTGTGAAAAATTTCTTCCTTATATCTAGTCGAAATCTGCCTTCTTTTAGTTTAAAACCATTACCCCATGTCCTATTGCTACAGGCCCTGCTAAAAAGTCTGTCCCCAGGACTGTGTTATCCCTACCATGCCCACATCAAGACTGCAGGTAGCTTCCTCCTGGCTCTGCTAATGGGCAGAATTCTCAATGGTCTTCTCTTGCTGGAAAAATAATAATTTATTTTTGCTCTTATCAGGTGGCTTCTGTACATGGTCTTCGTTTTTTTGCTGGGAGCCATTTGTACCCGTCAGTCACTCCGCTATGACTTCATGATAGCAGAGAAGGTAACTTGTTCAAATAACCCAGTGTGGTTTTATATAATGGTGCTTTTGGGTTGCCATATGCTTTATTGAATGCTTTATCTTTTCCAAAAGTCTAAGGAATTCGGGTACCCATCCCTCATTGAGATTCAGCGGGATTTCCCCATTGCAAGTCCCAGTGTACAATTGATCTGAACAGCTTTGCATTCACCGGCGTATCCAGTAATGCTGAATCTTGGCATAATCACCCAGCAATGGCTTTAAGAGCTAAAATATGCTAATGTGGTCTAATGATAAATGCTGTATTTTATTCAATGTATCCTTTCTTGTTGGTGAAAGCTTAGACCAAATGGAAATCTCTAAAGAACCCCACTGCTTATCTTTACTAAGTCAAGCGAGGCTTACATTTCCATATCTAGCAGGCTGTAATTGCAGGGCGAGCAATAGGATTATTAAACTCGAGACATTCCACATGAGTGTATATACATGAGGGAGGTCTGCAGCGTTACAGGCAATGAACCTTATCATTGCAAGCCTTTAAAAAGAGAGTAAAAGATTTTGGTGTTTGTCACTGTCTTACTTTAAATGGGATATGGGGTATAATTTTCTGTTATTCAGTGTTATCCAAAATCACGGGTTCATCATATTTGACGCTATTTTTTGTGATTAATTTAAAATTGAGATGTTTGCCATTTATTTGATTTGTAACATGGTTTTAAGCTAAAATATCAGATTGAAACTCTGGTTTCGTTTTCTCTCTAAGTAATTGTGAAAGTCTAGACTTTCGTCAGCCCCCAAAACAAATTCCAGATTATTGGTGGGGCTCCTGCCGCTTCCTGCTAAGGTGAAAAATCATCTGTTTCAGGGGAAAAAAGAATGACTCTACCTTCTTTAAGGCCACATCTTTGTATGTCAATGTGACAGCCTTAGTGGACAAAAAGCGCAGTAACTAAAATAATCAGCTTTACATGAATCAGCTGAAGAGAAAGAGATTGTTAAAGCTGTGTTTTAACTTTAAAACCCCCTTGGGGGGGAGAGGAAAAATCTCCCAGTAAAGATGTGAAGATATTTAATAATATTAAGTATAAAAACCAAACAAACAAAGAAAACCACACACAAGCAAATTCAGTTTTCTTTTGCCTTGTATGGTACAAAACCATAGTGCAATCCCAATATTCATGTTGCTTCTTTGAGTTACTACAAGCTGCTTTAGATTTTAATGACTTTGTTCAGAGAGGGGGAAGGGGGAAGAGATCATTACACATCCAAGACGCAAACTCTTCGTTTCTGTCACTCACAGGTGAGCAAGTGCTTGGCTGCTTTTCTCCCTTACAACACTTTTTTGGCTTTTTAAACATAAAAATGAGATTCAGTAATTTCACTTCTAATGATCTCGAAGTGCCAATTTCTTACAAAGCATTCACGCTCTCCGTGCTCAAAACCACCAGCAAACCTTTTCATCAGCCTTGGTGAAAAGGACTCTTCCCCTCTAACCCTGATTTGAATGTCAAGTAGTACATTTAAATGCAAGAATTTTTGGCAGCTAAAATAATATATGATGTCTGGCACAACTGATTGTTTCTTCCAAGTATTTCTCAGAGCAGGGCAGGATTAGAGGAGAGGGAAGGGAAGTTACGCTCATAAGATTCCCCATCAAGTCCATTGGTCTAATGGAAGCTGATCCCTGCTCGTCTTTCTCTCAAGTTTCTTCTGTCCCACAAGAAAAAATTCACAAGGCCGAGTGGATTTTCATGGAGAAAAGAAATGTTGTGGTAGGCGATTTGTACAGTTCTGGACCATGAGGTTAATTTTACACGCCTTCCCCAAACAGCAAGCATTTTATGGCTTTTTACCCAACCTCCTTTTTTTTTCTGTGTGCAGGTTCAATACATAAGGGAAAAGGCAGATGTAGCTTGAATCATCTTTAGCCATGTAAATTTTTGTGATACATTCGAATAAAGCATGTGCCACCTGACTTCAACAGGGGCAGAAGCTGGGAGGACCCCTGTTCATTTAGACCTTATTTTCCATGAGAGGAGGGGTGGGAGTGAAGGACTCATGGGACACAGTGGACCTGCATTCAACGCCGTCCTCTGCCATGGATGTCTGCGAGCACCTGCGGCAGCTCGCTTCAGTGGAGTATGGCAGGACAGATCTGGACCAAGATGTGAGGGTTTTCTCCCTGCCTGGCCTTTCTGCCGGCGTTACCCACTGTGATTTGCCTTTCTCTGTGGCTGGCTGTGGGCTGCCAGACTTGTGTGGTCTTACAGAACTTGACGGCTCAGGTGACCCTAGACCTTAGTCTCCTTGGCTGTGTCTGCCCACACCCTCACGCCACGGTACCAGGAGCACTTCCATGTCAAAGCTTTCTTGCACTGTGTTCATATTGTGGGGTTTTGTGTTTTTGGGTGGGTTTTTTTAAGATGTGCTGCCTATGCTTGCAGCACTTGACAGTGGGGACCTGCGCAGGGGGACCCCAGTCCTTCAATTCTGTGTGGTAGACCATGAGCTGCTCTCCTTTCCCCCCACGGTGCAGGAGATGCTCCCCGATTGAAAGGGAGCTCTCTAGAAACTGGTAATAAACCCAGCCTTGTTAGCACTGTGGCTTTAAAGACTTTCTTATGTTTCATGTTGGCCAAAGGAAATTCTGTTCTCATTGAAGACAGGAAAATAAGGTCATTGTATTATATCCTTCAGAGCGTATTTTTTGAGATGCCATTTGTTTAAGTGGCAATTTCAATTTGGTTTTACTGTGGATATTCTTTCAGGATTGGTTTTCCCCTCTGGGACACAGGGGTGTTTGTCTTCCTGTTTTGGATGGTTGGAAGCCTGGGCAGCTTTTCCTGCACGATGTGCTCTGTATATAAGTGATCTTTCCTGAAATAAACTCACTTCCAGTTACTTAAGGGGAATCTAATAGCTGCTGCTTTGCTGCAGTTGCTCCAAGTGACAAAGAATTTCTTGGATATGAGCTCTGTCAGTACAGGATGTTCAGTATTAAATTACTTTTATGGGATAATTTTCCTGTATTAATTGCTTGCACTTTATACCACAGAGCAGTTAAATTGCTCCTTTCCCACCGCTCGCTCTGTTAATTTTGCAATGTTACAAAATATATGTGATCTCTTAACAGACACGTCTTTAAAACTGCTCATCGGTCTTTAGTGAACAATATAATCAACTTTGCATTCTCTCTGCTTCCTCCAGGTATCCTTGGTGGGTTTCTTGTTTTTGCTGGGACTGTACATCTCGTCCCTGGCCTCCTGCATGGGGGGGCTGTATGGAGCACCCAGGATCCTGCAGTGCATCGCCCAGGAGAATGTGATCCCCATGCTCGCCTTCCTTGGATATGGGGTTAGTCATCCTTTCCCTGAGATTGCTCTCAAACCTTCACCTGAAGGAAAACTGTTGGTTCAAGAAGCCAGGATTTCCGTGTGTCTGTGGAGTGAGATGGGAGATGTATGAAATGCAAGGAGGGAAGGCTTGGGATCTGGTACCCTAGAGTAGTCAGAAAAGCCAGGAAATGAGTGGGTTTATTCAAAAAACAAGAGCCCAGCTGCCCTGGTCCTTTCCCTGCCTGTCCGCCGTGCTGCACAGCCTCTGCCCTGAGCCCTCCCACGGGGCTCGGCACCGCGCAGGAGCAGCCCTGCTTCGCCCCAGCCCCTCGCCCACCCACCTCTGTGCCCCGGCCCGCCGCGCGTGGACAGCCCTCCCGACCTGTGGGTCCCCTCCCTCCCTCGGACCCACCTCCTTCGAGATGCCCCCAGTAAAATAGCTGCTTATGATGCAACTTTACCCGTGATTTCGTTTGCAGACGCCTTATCTACACTGGTAGTGATCCTATCCGTGACGGAGGCAGGCACCTAGCTCTTCCCTGCCCTCCTGTCCAGGGCAGAGGCCTGAAGCTTTTGTCCAGGCACTTTGGTGCAATGCACCTCTTAATCTGTTTTTCTTTTTTTTTCTTTTTTCTGCTTTCCTGCACCTTTTCCTTGAGCTCTTCCTATCCTCTCTGGTTACCTCATAGCTGAGTACATGAGTAGTCGCGGTACGGTGGATTCAGTCTGTGTGCACTGGAGAAGGGGACACTTCTTTGTAAGATAAGATGCCTCTTGGACACTATAAAATAAAACCAAAGTATAGATTTGAAAGGTTAAGCTAGGCGGCTGCTAAGCTTTAGATGTGCTTTGAAACAAAGCCTTGCTTTGAATACGACAAGAGGCTTTTTCCTTGTCATATTCATAAATAATCCTCATTCACATGAGTCGTTCTGCTGAGATCAGTCAGAGTACCAGTCACTAAGGACTCTGTAGTCTCGGACTATACATTCAGAGCAAACTATTTTTTATGGTTTTCCCTTCTTCTAAACAGGGAGAAAATAATTCCCTTGCTCTCAATAACCTGCAGCGCCTAACTGTACTGAGCAGCTAGAAAAAACCTTACGATATTTTGCTCCTTCAGAGAGGCTTACAAATACAGAAAAATATTTTACAATATTGGTGTTTATGAATATTTTTAATATGTGTTTTATAAGTATAATAATTTTATATACTGTATTCTATATTTCTGAAGGTAATTTTCTAAAATTAAGGTAGTAATAATAATAGCAATAGTAATAATAAATGGTAATAATCATAGGGGAAGCAGGAACAATAATGGTAGCAAAAACTTCCAGCTCCTGAAGGCAGCTGTCAGGCCATCCCAGAACAGGCTGTTCTCCACTTGGCAACCCTTGCCAAATTCTCAGTGACTTAGCAAAGTTGACTGCAAAGCTGATTCCCTCTCTTCTCTGATAGTTTTCTGTCTTTCTGTCAAATTTTCTGCTCTGAACTCTGTCCGGGCAGAGTGCCACAATGGGAAGGGCTGAAAAAGAGGTGAGAAAGCAAAGGCAGATCACTTTCCCCCATCCTTCCCTCTGCCACTTTGAAACTTGTCTAGATTTGGTTTATGGAGAGCTAACAAATTTAGTTTGCCCTTAACAATCTGTTCCACATCAGTTCTTTTTTCCCATGGTTGAAAAAAAAGTGTTGTAGTCCATAACCATAACCCCAGCTGATGGGAAGGACACGACTGTTTTCTGTAGAGTTAAACCCAAGCCAGAGGCATCCTGAGATGTTCCCCATCTCAGTATGTCTTTCTGATACTACAGATGCTGAGAACCGTGTTCCTTTATCTCTTTATCCTTTATATTTCCATTTCATTGCAAGAAGGACCAGAACTGGTCCCCTTTTCTATTAATAAATAAGAGGAGGAAATATGAATAGTTTCCATTTGAGCTGTGTGTTTATTAACAAAGCGCATGCAGTAAGTGAAAACCTAAGATATTTTGTAAGATACCTTGTAAGATATTTTCCAGTGAGGTCTTTACACAGCCTGGACAGGCTTCTCGGGTACCGAAACGGCGAGACAGTGCCTGGTCCAAGGAAGGGCAGGTTAGACCTGGGATTAAAGTTCAGGAACTGATGGCTCAAGTCTTTCCACCCCCTGATGCCCATTGCTTTGTCCCTCTCTTTCTCCTCCTCTCCTTGCCTTCGCCCCAGCCCAGAGAAGAGCCGGCGGTGTTTCTCCTGGCTGCCTGCCTTCCCGGCGCACGCCCGGCATCGCTGGCGCTGACTCCTGCCCTCCGGCATCCGGGGCTGCCCAGCCTCTCTGCGGCTCTCCTCCTGCCGCCGGGCAGATGCGCCTTGGGTGGAAGAAAGGGGGGAAACCCCGAGTGCAGAGGCTCAGCAGACCGTGGGTTTAGCTCAGCCTCCTCTCAGGGCAGGGCCAGAAGCTGCTGCTGGGAAGGTGGCACTGCTCCGTGCAGGCAGAGCTTCACTGACTCTATCTGGCAGCCGAAGCCTTTCCAACGGCAGCGTGCGGGAGCCTTCTGGGTCGGCAGCGACGCAGAGTCCTGTAGAGAAATTGGAGATGAACAGTTAACGCCAATTAATGCGTTTTATTGCCAGACTTCCCATAAGCCCCACAAATCTCTCTGAAGGTTTATTGCTGCTTTAATGACATTGTTTTACTGCAGAGTTAGGGAGTGAGAGTGGATGAGTTTTCCAAAGACAAAGCTTGAGTAAGGCTCAGAGGCGAGGTGGGAGCTCAGCAGCTTTTGGCTTCCAGCCTGTTCTTTAATTTATTAAGCCAGTGAGCCTCTGCTTGTGCACGTGTGTGTGTGTTTCATGACTAAAGGGGTACTGCAGACCGCCCAGGTAACCACTTATGGCAGCTGAGCAAGAGGGGAATCCTCATGGTGAGGCTTATGGTTATTAATTTAAATGTAAGTTTGTTTTATTTATGAAATAGAAAGGACCCAACAAGACTCCAGTGGCTGCAATTTGCTTAACAAGTCTCATCACCATGTCTTTCGTCTTCATTGGGCAAGTGAATGTTCTTGCTCCCATAGTCACCATCAACTTCATGTTGACATATATTGCTATAGACTATTCCTATTTCTCAGTCTCCTTAAGCTACAATGTTCAGCAGAAACCTGATGAGACCCAGATGGAAAATGCTAGGCCTGCTCATTCTTCCCAGCCTTTAATTTTCAACAAGCCCTCCAGCCGTGCAGCAGATGGAGTAATTCAGAGCAGGTCAAACGGCACCTTGCTGGAATTCACAAAAGACATGGACCAACTTTTTAAACCATTTCATAGTGAGCCAGGCACTTGCAAAAAAGGAGGAGCCAAGAATTTAACCCAAAAGGCCAAACAGAAGAAGACAAAGAAGCGAGCCAAGCAGACATTACAAGACAGCTTTCTCCTGGATCTCCATCGTGATGTTCCCGCGGCTCCGTACGGCTGGGATGAGACCATGGAGCCCTGCAGCAAGACCCAGCAGGACCTGGCTGAGCAGGTCCATCAGCATGACACGGGTCCACGCTCACCACCCGCTGCGGATGCTCAGCGGACACCCGGGCTGCTGGAGCTGGGGGAGCAGCTCTGCAGTGAGGCGCCCGCGCTCCCCGGCCAGAGGGGCGAAGGTAAGGGCTGTAGGAGACGGACATCTCCGTGCTCACGAGGGCGCGGTTCATAACCTCAGTCCTCACCGTGCTTTCTTGGGGGCAGGTGTGGAACTAGCATTATACAGGGCTGTCATTCAATGATTCATAGCAAGAATATCATTTATTCCAGGTTAGGGTAGAGTTCATTGCAATGCATCACAGGAGGAGTTCCAGTGCAATTTCCTATGGAAGATTAATCACAGGAAAACAGGCAGGACTATGCTTAGTGTAGGGTTGTTTACGGTCTACTCATTATTCTACACATGCACTCTTAGCACTGTACATTAAAAAGGTTTTGAGCGTAACCTGGGGTTTACTTCATCCTGGTGTAGGGTAGGAGGGATGGAGCCGTTTGGGTCTAAAACTCGGGCTATCAAAATGCAGTGGTCCCCATGCCGCGGGTGGAGTCTGTGATTCAACACCCACGGCTAGGAGTCTGAATTTGTTTTGTTGGCGATGTGGGAATTTGATACCATGGCAATTTGCTTGGAGTTTGTCATCTCAGTGCTGTAGGGTTTTACCAGCATTAGTCAATTAAGCTTCATAAACCCCTCTGAGGGAGAAAAGTATTATTCCTCTTTTTTCACAAATAGGGAAACTGAGGCAGAGAGAGGTAGATATGGCTTTCAAATGGACTCAGCACCAGAGCTAGAACGCTTTTTTTTTCTTGCACTTCTTTTTTGTTTTAATTTTTGAGGTTTTGCTTAAGCTCTGCCATACCCAGCTGTCAGCTAAAATTTCTGCTTTGGTTTTCTGGAATCTGGTAATGTAAAGAAGGAGAAGAAAACCCACTTTAGCTCCTTTTTAATGTCTCTTTTCTTTTCTTGTTTTTTTTCTGTAGAATCATCTATAAAGCAACAAAATCCAGAGCTGGGAATTCAGCAAATACCAGAATCCTTCTACTCCAAATTCTGCAATCACTGGGTTTCCTTTGCTGGTGTAAGTATTTTTGTTTATTTTGAGCACTGGTTTGTGATTGTAGAAAATGGAAAGAAATTCATCACTCACTTACTGCAGTGTAAATATACTCCAGTACATTAAAATGGCCTTTGTTTCTAGTATTCCAGGCCACCTGAATCAAGTATTCAAGGTACCATGCATCCACTCGTTCAAATTCAAAGGAAGCCAGATGACATATTAATTAAAACAACAACAACAGCAAAAAAAACCCCCAAAACCCAACCTAAACCAAGAAGGTACAAATTCAAACTGTGGCATCTTAGGACTTGAGAGGCATGGCTGGCTGGGAAAAAAGCAGCATCCCTTTTTTCAGTGTGTGCCAGCCTGCTTTTTCTTGCTGTGGGACGGAGTGAGACATCAGCTTCAAAGCTGTGTTGCTTTTATTTATGAGATGGTTTCTGCAAGCTCAGGGTGGGATTTCATTAGTGCTGACCTCCTGATACCATAGCAGCCTGGCTGTGAAATTCCACCTTTTGAGGAAAGAAAGCGGAACATTCCCCCAGCACGTTACTTCAAAGAATAAAAAACTTTTAAATAGCTTCTGTCTCAAGCTGCTGAGGAGTTTAGGACATTTAAATTCATCTTGGGAAGATGGATTAATGGGCAGATGACAGGGAAAGGGTCAGATATGCATAATGAATGAGCCATATGGCTTTGCTGCATGGACTGCGATTTCATAGCTGTGTGTAAAATGTAACAAACCCACTCGAACAACTCACCGAACCCTTTTAGCTTAATCCTCAGATGGAGTTTGACACCTACTTTTCAAAATCACTGCCCCCGCTGCCAGCAGCCAGCTCCTGGTGAGGGGTCCCGGCCGGATCGCGGTGCCAGGGGTGGGACGGCTGCTGGAGGCTTCTCCCTAGCGATGACATCTGTAGGAGGTTGCACACTGATGCTGTCTCTGGGCTTGGTAACTAACGTGGCTCCCAAGCGTGTGTCATCGCGGAGCGGTCAGCTCTCTGCCTTCACGGGGGAATTCGGTTATGGAGACGACTGACGTATTCATTAAAGCAGATTTGCTTTCCTGTCAGTAGTCAGACTTGGGAGGAGGTTGCAGCAGAGCTGGGAAGGGATCAACAATGCAAAATAAAATCACAGAAGGAAAAATCAGATGCATTTATTCAAGCTGGCTCCTTTCCCCTCTGCCCTCTCTCTCTGTGCTTCACCGATCATGTCATTCTGGACTCATTTAGCTCTTTCTTTGCATGCTGCCCCTTGCTGTTCCTAACCTGATCCATGAAGATGCCACCCCTGCCCCCTTTCATATGTCCCTTGAGCCAAATCTACCTTGTGAGCTGGTGAGCCTCTGGATACTGCTGCTGGAGCAGCCCCGCAGAGACCCGAAGCCCATGCTCCTGGGCTGTAGGGCTCAAGGTAGCTCACTGAAAGCTACCTCCACGCTGCTGAAGACGAAACTGTAATCCTGTGCTGTCCCTCCTTTTAACAGTGAGACCAAACGGGGCTCCCTATAACGTGGGAACTTCATTACTGAGAAACTTCAGCCATGCGATACCCAAATCTTTTCAGAAAACACTGGGTGAAAGTGCTCTATATGTGACCGAAAGCCATGCACTAGTGGAGTGTTTTACAGGCAGGAGGTGACGTGGTTCCCTGCGGGTCCTGCTGCGCCATCGGTCTCAGCCACCGAGGCCTGGGAGCATCCATCCACCCATGTGGTTGCAGCTCCATCATTCCTCCTGCGGGCAGGACCCGGGCTGTGCAGCAGGTCTGGTGCAAGGACAGTCTCTGTTGTCTCCCCATCCCGGGACTTCATTAGGAGGGAGACACCTAAAAGGAAACACTCATCAGGATAAAGCCCAGTGGCTGCATCCCGGGTCCTGACTGTGCACACCTCCTATACAGTTCTCCTGAGAAGTCCCTGAGAAAGCTGGAGGTGCAGAGATGCCATCGAAGCGCTGGTTTTGCATGTATTTAAAGCCAAGATTCATCATTTCTGGCAAAAAGCCCCGCAGCCCAAAACAGTTAACTGGTGCTGTCATAACAACTCGAAAGCTCCAGCACTGCCTCCGTTATTAAGAAGTTTCTGTTAGAGTTGCGATGCATGCTCACCTTGCAAGGTTGAGGAACAAAGCGCTGACCTGGTGTCAGGCTGTGTCTGAAGGTGAGCAGTCCTCGCCGGGCGCTGTACTGCAGGGCCAGAGCAGGAAATCGGTGTTGCCACCATCAGATTGTCATCAACATATTATCTTACGGACTCTGGGGTGACCCCAAACCGTGTCTTTCCAACAGGCGATCGTGTCCCTCATCATAATGTTTGTCATTCAGTGGATCTACACCCTTGTCAGCCTGGGTGCAGCAGTTATTCTGTATTTCTACATCGGCCAGGTGAGCCCAGGACTCCCCCTTGGTGAGTATTTTATTGTATTATTAAATCTGCTTAAAAATTCATTAAGCTTTAATTTAACTTAATTAGGAATTGAGACCCTTGTGTTTAATATGCAGGTGACACAGTGGATGATGACGTTTTGTTTTGTTGCTAGTTTTAATACATTTTCTCTCTGAGTCTTTAATTTTATATTGGATTCTAACTGCAACTAGCATGAGTTTGGTGGTTTGAACATTGTGCTTATTGCTTTAATATGTTGTACTTTAAACGGCAAAACCAGATACTAATACTAAGACTTAACAGGGATGGCAGATCGTAAATGTATCACAGCAATGAGAAAAATCTGCCGTAAATACGTTTTAATAAACTTAATTAATCAACCTAAACCCGCCTGAGAAAACTTTAATGAAAATGGGAATTATGACGAGTATCTCATTAAACCTCAACATTCATAACTGCAGAACAAGAGAGCCTTTTGATTCCAGAACTAAACAGGTTGAATATGTTGGGAACGTAATCTGGGAAAATACTCTTAGGCAGAGGGCATTAGAAAGGTCTGTGCATGTGACCGGCTTAAACAAGTTCAAAATTAAACAGCGAAGCACATTCAGAAGGCAGCTCATGGGAGCCTACAGCTCCTTGGCACGGCCGCAGGAGGGGTTTGCATTGGTCTATGTCTCTGTGTCTCACGTACATACGCATACATATGTATGTAGGTGCATATGGACATAACTACCCGCACGCGTGGATGTGCCGTTTTTTTCTGCAAGATGAGAAAGGTCCAAAGAGCCTGAGTCCATATGTCTTTTAGACAGTGCAGAAATAGCTACCCAGGTTTATTTAGATGAAAGATTATTAGACAATAGGTACCTAGGTACTAGATTTCAGAAACCCAAAATACTTGTCGCTCAGTAACCATCACAACATCGCTCATCAGTGCTTCTCTTTCTGCGCTGACTTCTTTTCTATTTATCTGCATGGGATGGTAGGAAAGAGCTAAGACTGTGGATAGTACTTGCTAATTAGTACGTTCTGAAATATATCTTAAGTTTTAACAAAGATTTTTACAGTCCCCATCTATTAAAGAAAACACTGTTTTCAGGCCTTGCAGTTTGTATATTTGTATATTCACTATATTACATCTCTCTTACGTGATTTTGAAATATTTACCAAAAATGACTTTAAAAAGAGTTTCTCGGTCAGTGTGTAGAGGATCTTGGAAGGTGATCTGAGAAATAGTGTCATGATTAGACTTTTTTTTCTTGGTTTCTTTTGCATGTGCATTCCCATGCATACAGTAAAATAATGCATGGCAAAAGAAAAGTTAGAAATGACTGCTGAAAGTTCAGCCCAATTTTTATTTGGCTGTGAGTGAATGTTATTGTGCAGCCACATGGCATCCAATGATCCCTGAGTTTCTTCTCCAAAAGACTGAATGACCCTTCTGTCTAGAAAGACTGGGAGACACTGGCTTGAGAGATGCTCTAGATGAAGGACTAGATGAAGACCTTGGGAGCAGAAATGCTCTGGGATTTTGACATGTCCCTTCTCCTCTCTCTTCCTCCCCAACAGCCTAATCCAAACCAGCAGGCGCTGCCGGGTGCCTGTTCTCCTCCCTGTCCCTCACCACAAACTTTTCCTGCTGCTTTTGCTGCCAGCTCTGGCACTTCCCTGCCCCTGCAGTGAGCCAGTGCAGGACACTAACCCTACAGAGAAACCCGAAAAAAATAGTGTTGGCGTAATAAGCTAAGCCAGCTCTCTGTGGGGTGAGACAGGAGGGAAGGAATGGTGAGACCACAGACACCCCAGCTGAATGGCTCTTCCTGTCCCCCCATCCCGGCAGTGGGAATGAGCTTTGCAGTCCAGGGAGGAAAAGGTAGTGCTACGGGTGTCTGTGCTTTGCTCCCTGCCTTACTGGGGTTTGCACAAGCTGTCAGTCTGGGAAAGGATAGCTGTTCTGCCTGGGAAATTGGGGTTAAGTTTCTTGACAATCATTTAAAAGCCACAATGTGTGGGAATGCTGCAGGAGTGTCTCACCATCGTGAAAACTTTTTGTACTTAAGGCTAATAACAAGCATATTGGTTTGAGATTTTATGCAAAAATTCAATGGCTTAATGCTATTATGAGAGAATTAGCAGCATACTGACTTCTCGTGCCTTTTCTCTGTAGGAGCAGCAGCAAATTTCAGTTTCTTCGGCTGGATTAAGTCAGTTTTGATCACCTCGTGCAGGTTGGTACCAGTCACTTGGCAGGGACCAGGGCAGTGCTCACTGTTCCCGTGACCCGCTAATGTGCACAGCGAGGGATGGCAGAGTTGACTTGCTTATTACCTTAAGCAGTCCCTTCTTGCATACTCAAAGTTATTCTTAATGGCAAAAACAACTGTTTGCTTCCATTAGCCCGGCCTATGGCTGGCCACGTAAGCGGGAGAGCTGGAGTCTCCTCTGCCTTATGCGTGGACACTTCAGCTGCTAACCATATCTTGGTGCCCGAAGCTTTATCTTACCTGAAAGGTCTGTGCTCAACTTTGGTGGCTCAGGCTGAACTGGAAAATCTGGTAGGAAATGAATAACAGGAGACTCCATCTCTTCCACCCACCATCCATTGAAAGCAAATGAGTATGGTAGTGGTGGAACAGGCGCATGTGGCAGCTGTGCTCAAGTTTGAGAGGAAATCTAAGGGGAAGCCACAATAGCTACGGGGCAAATACAACAAACAAGGTCTTCAGTGAAGGAACAGTATTGAGTCTGTATGGGACTGCACTAGCAATGTCTTGGGATTTTCCTTCCCAGAAGACCTCCAGCTTTTTGGTTGGTTGGTTACTAACTAGTGTTTTTAATTTGTTTTGATACTATTAATCATTAATTCTGTCATGTTTGGGTTTCCCACAGAGGGTAGTGACCATCTCTTGTACAGCGCAGTGGGATTTGACGTTCTCAATCTGTTGGGTTGCTTTTTTTGTTGCGGTGGGTGAACACTGTAGTAAGGACTGCGCAACATGAGCTGCCATGCATTATGTGGGCAAGTTTGGTGGCTCCTTTAAAATAAATCAAAGTCCAGGCATTTAAGCACATTGGCACAGGCCCGTGCCTGTGTTGCCAGCTCCTGCCTCTGCCCACAGTCCCTATAACGTGGCCACATACCTTTGGTAGCAGAGGTGGCTTGGGAGAGAAGCCAGAAGACAGGACCTCTCTTTGGTCCCCACGGCAGGTCTGTGGCAGGGCCGAGAATAGACAAGTCGGTTCTCCCGCATCGCATCCATCCCTTTCTCTACCAGACCAGTGGATGTCTCCGAGCACGGGACTGGGTCCCTGAAGACCCACCTGTCCCACAAACCTCTTGCCATGACTAGCTTTGTTCACACAGCCACCGCTGCCTCGCACGGCAGTTGGGTAAAGCTGCACGCTTGCCTAAGCGTTAGGGAACGAGAGCCCAGGTTAGAAGAGATTACCCCGGCAGGGGGGAGTGAGGGGGTGTGGAAGGTGTGCGCTGTGTTTTCTGCATATCTCATGTGGAGTCAGGGGTTGTCCCCGCCGCTTTTCACAACGTCTGCTGGACTCGCAGCGCAAGCCCAAGCCGAGGGTGCAGAGGTGAGGATGGGAACAGGGCACGCGGGCCGTGCTGAAGCGCTGCCAGAGTTACGCATTGTCAGGCCCCGCTGCTTCCTACCCCGGGCACTTGTCTGGTTCCACCTCAGTGTCTGGGTGGACTCGTGGCAGGTCGCTTGAGCTCAATGCAGCTACGATGATAGAGCGGGATTTTCCTCCCGATTGTCCCCCAGTGCTTCTCAGCCCTGTCTCCTGCCCATTGTCTGAGGTTCCCCACAGGAGGCTGGTTGAGATGCGAGGCTTCACGGAGAGTTACCATGTGTGGAAAGGAGAAACCATCCCTCCTAGAAGGCAGCTCTGCTTCTCACAAGTAGAGGCACGGTTGTCGCAGGGATTTTTTCTCCTGTGGGTTACCAAACCGTCCCAGTCCTTAGTGGTTCGATTAGTGCAATCAATGAGCGATGAAGTGCGATCAATGAGTGCAGTCAAGACCCTGCCAAGGAGGGCTGAGCGGGGAGCTGATGAATGCCCAAGGCAGAGACTGATCCCACTTCTCTCTTCTCAAAGAGCACAATCTCTGGGTCAGACAGACAGCTTGATTGCCTTATCCTAATGCCAGGGTTCCTGCTCATGCTGCCACAAGGACAATTTCATCTCCGCTTGGGGGTCAGGTGGGTCATTTTGAAGCCCACCTTGGCTACACTGTGAGAAATTGCATTGGAGTGATTTGCAGTTTCTTCCCAAGGTTTGTTTCCTTGAAATCCAGGAGAGATATTTTAATGAATTGGAGGTAAAGAACAAATCCCATTAGAATGCAAAAGAGTTGGAGGCAACCAAGGATCCTTGACACCTCTAAGGCTCTTTGGTGCTCAGTAAGGTCTGAGTCAGTGCTATAAGCTCTTGCCATTTTGGTTTGCAGATGTGGAATAAGGTTTTCTTGAAACCAACCTCTGGGCTATATATAAAAAGGATATTTTTCATTAGAAATGGTTCAAGCTCCTTCTTTTCCTGCACAGTGTGGAAACCGTTTGCCATAGTCGATGTCCAAAGAGGGAACTTATTGGTTAAGAAAATATGTATTTTCTAGTGTTTGCTGGGGGAAGGAAGTATATATTTTGTGTGCCTTCTAGGAAAAATATTTTCAGATTAGTTCCATGCCTCCCAAGGGTGCTGAGAAGGATTTAGGCTCATCACAGCTGCAGTTTGGCTGGTTTTGTTTGCGCAGCCGCTAATGGACGGCAAACAAGGGGTGATGCAGGTGCCTTTGCTTCTCTGTTTACAGGAGAAGGCCATCTCCTAAGGAGCAGATCGTGGTGACACCATCCTTTGCAACAGTTGGCATGGAGACCACGCAGCTCACCGAGGAGAACGCAGACTTCGCCTCACGGGACCGCTATCACCAGTCCTCGCTTGTCAGCAGAGAGGAGCTTGGGAATCAATTCCAGTAAAGGACACACACAAAAAAAATCAAGCCGCTACTTCAAAAAGCGTTTAGAAATGCCAATGGCTGCCACGGTGCCTTGTGAAATACTTGAATATATACGGAAAGGATGTGAATAGTTATTTATATATTTGAGGCTTGTTTGTTTATGCAAACTACAACATTGCTGGGTTTCGAATCATATCCAAAATGAGGGAAAAAATGCAAATGAAAGGGCCAGTTCAGGGAAGCGATGAGTTACTGAGGACAATATAATCCTTTTAAAGAATTCAATTATAAGTGCTATTGGGCTCTAAAGAGTGTTGCCGCTATAAAAGCTTACAACACTCTATTTCAAACGTCCTCTGGGTGACTAGGGACACACTGTGCCTGGGAGCGGTGGCCTCGGCAGCAGGAGCCAGCACCCCGCTCCCAGCTGTGCCACGGATGGATGCAACCTTCCTGGTCAATTCACTTCTCCTCTCGGCGTGAATTTGCCTGCTTGTAATACAGTAATTTTCTACCTCAGCGTTTCAATTTCCAAGGTCTTAGAAAGTACTTTAAGGCATTAGACAATAGGCCAGAATCAGTGGCAAGTGCAAGAAGATTATGAAATATATTCACAACTGGAATCGCACGTTTAAATGCAGTAATGCTGTATAATGACCTCTACTGTGAAACTGTAAAATGATGTCTTAGAAGCTGTTCGTAGTGATTTCCCACATCCTTTCTGCCATGGCACCGGAAACCTGACAACATAGCTGGGTCCAAACAGAGCATCTCCGTGCTGAAGGGACGGATGGATCAGAAGTGCCTTAACAAAATACGTTTAGCCTCATTTTTGCTTATTTTGCTTAAAGCCGGGGATGCTGCAGGATTTCCCGCGCAGACCTTAGGGTTGATGGGCAGTGGCTGTGGGGTGGGGTCTTGCACGGATGCCCCTGTCACCATCGCTTCTGCTCCCCAGGGAAGAACCCCTGGCTGAGCGCTGTCCTGCCTGCAGGCAGTGGTCCTGGCAGGACCTGGGGGGGTGCACGGGAGGGCTCAGGGCTGAGGCAAGCCCCAGCAGCACGAACTGTTCTCATGCCGAAAGGAGGGGGAAATCGCTGCCTTTCACCTCCCTTCGCCTCTGAGTGTTTCAGCCTTTAGATTATTTATTTCTCCTTCTGTGCAATAAAAGCTTGAGACACCAGGAACTCTTCTCCACGCTTGCTGTGGGCACACTCAATGCCTTTGAGCACCACGGCCATTCCGCTTGCCGGCCATGGGGGGACCCCCCATCCCATCTCACCGCTCGCTGGCTGCAGCTTTGGCTCTTCCAGTTTTCTTACAGAGGGAAGCAAGGCAGGCTTTCTGCTGAGATAAAGAAGAGAGTGATCCTGGTAAGCGTATTAATTTTTTAAGGTCACAGGTCTTTTATTAAGTGTTTTTAATCTTAATGATCTCAATGGAGGCAAGAGGGAAGTTATGCTTGTGTGTCCAGCTCCGAGCCACCTCAAGGCCTGTCTTGGCAACAGTCCATCCCGGGGTTCCTTCCTTCCATTGCCTTTTGCCTTTGGTTTCCAAAGAGTCTGAACGTGTTGTGGGGATATGGCTCTGTGCTGAAGCTTCCCCTGGGTTCCCCGGACCCGTGGCTCCAGAGAGCCCTTCCTGTGCTTGTAGCATCTTTGACCTCAGCAGCTACTGCTGTTCCGCAAACTTCAAACACTCCTTGGTCCTGATCCCCTGCTGGCAAGCCGCACATTGCTGCGTTATCCCCTGTTACAGTTTGATGCACAACCATAAAACCAGTACTGTAAAATCTTGTATTCCATAAAGTCCTGTCACATCAAAATACTGCGGGGTGCCCTCCCTCCCAAGACAGGCATTGCCCAGCCCCACGTTTCTCTCTAGCTTGAACAAAAGAAAACCCCAGAGCACGGCATGAAGTGATTAATGGGCAGAAATTCCTGGGTTAACTTGTTAGCTCCTAAACAATTTAGTTCCCTTCTTAAAATAAGGCAGCAATCAGGAGATCCAGCAAGGGAGGATGGGGAAGGTCCCTTGGCCATGTACCTCACTGGGCAGCTGCGCTGAGTGAAGCCAGATGGCTTGGCGGTGGGGAGTGTTTGCCTCTCCGACACCATGGCTCCCGCTTGTCCCCAAAACTGGGATGTGATGGACCAGAAACACAAGCAGCTTCTCCCGTGGTCTAGCCGTATTGGGAAGGTGCCCCACAGCTTTGCTTTGGGCTGACTTAAGTCTGCAGCGGCTGTTCCCTTGCCCTGCCACCGCCGTCCTGCCCCTTCAGCTCCGGTAGCCCTTTGCATCTGGATGTCCTCTCGAACAGTTCTGGTTGTGTTTGCCCGGCGAACACAAAGCCTCCGCCGGCAGCCGGAGGAAGGCACCGTGCTAGTGGGAGGCCGTCCGGAGGGTGCTGGGGTGCAGGGGTGGGTCGTGCCTTGGCATTTCTGGAAAAAGGCGGCAGCGGGGCTGGCGTCGGCGCCGGGGGGCAATAGCTGTGATCGGGAGCTGGCAGCGGAGGAGATGCTCTGCAGGGCACGTCGTGCCAGGGGTTTCTGGTCTTTGGGCTCCACGTGCTGCTGCTGGGGAAACCCTTCACCTCCTCCACTGGCACCACCAGCACAGCGGGAACCAGCTCCCTCCGCCGCCCCGTAAGTATGGGCCCTTCGCTCCCCTCCTGTCTGCAAGGGAGGAACGCATCGCCTAGGGCTGGTTTCCTCGCTGCTGTTACAGGTTGTGAGGAGAGCAACTTTCCTGTGTGATGCTTGGAAAGGGACGTGCTGCTCTTTCCTGGAGCGTTAGCGTTGGCATAGTTGATGGTAGGAGCGGAGGGAAGCCTTGTTTTGGCCCCGGTAACCCCGCAGGCTCGGTAGCATTGGAGACTCGATGAGTTCAGGCCGTGCGGGTATGCAGGGCTTTGCACATCAAGGAAGCTTTTCCAGCGAGAAAGAGCGAGCAGTTGCATTGCCAAAGATTTGGGGTGTTGTGTCAAAAATATCTGTAGCTTCTGTATCACTCAAAAGAATGGGTGAAATTAGGGGTAGGAATTTATCAGCTTCACGTTTAGTGATTAATGAGAAGAAATGCAGGTGGGGATTGCCACAGCGAGTGGGAATGTGCTGCTTTCACCCCCTCTGAGCCAGGCTGTCACTCCAGATGCTGTGGATTTCATGAAGCTTCAGGTTCCCTGAAGGTGGTTTGGGGAACCATCTCAGAGCATCACATGTCCTGTATAGGTTGCAACTTGCTTAATGTCATTATGAAAAGGCCCTCCTATCTTCTAAGCCATGTAAGCTTTGTTATAATCTATAATTATTTTCCTTCTAGTTGGAAATTTGATTTTATTATTATTATTATTATGTAAGAAACACGAATGTCTTGCAATGTGTCAGGGTGTGAAAACATTTGTTTTTGAGATGTCTTCTTTTTGAAGACTCCAACTGTAAACTGGTGGCTCTAGTTTTGACAGCTTCCTTTGCAGAGCATACAAGCACAGAAGGCAGTGGAGGATAAATATTTTATTACTTGCCTTGCAGTATTGCTTGGAAGCTCATGCTGGGATCATGAGCCCAAGCTCGTGCTTTGTTTGTGATCCCACAGCACTAAACAGGTCTGGAAATCAGAATTTTCTGCCTCAAAAAACTTGCAGCACTAATTCTTAGTCAAGACTAAGAATGGGCAGGAGAAAAGCGAAGTTTTATTGTGATATTGGCATTAAGAGACAGCTCCTCAGTTGGTATCAATTGTCATCATCTCCCCCAGATCTGCCTGTGTGTCCCATTAAGAATGTGCATGGGGAGAAGCAAGCTCATTAAATCCATAGCTTAGCTCAAACCTGTCTTTTTTTCTGCCCTCTTGGGTCTCCCTTGATCAGCTTTGAGTTTCCTTGGATGGTTTTGTTGTGTACGGTGGCCAAAAAAATTACACACCTGCCATGGTCACTTATTCATAGCAGTTAGTTGTGACCACAGACTTGAAAGTAGCAAAGAACGATGACAAAATATGAAATGATGTTTCTGCGCACAGCCGAATTTAGGCACAGGGGCTTTCTGTGCCCCGTGAGCTGGTATGCTCTCGCCCATGCACCTCTGGTTCAGACAGGCAGAGGTTCTTAAACAGCGTCATACTTACACATAGAATCACTTAGGTTAGAAAAGACCTGTAAGATCATCAAGTGCAACTGTTAAACCAGCACTGCTAAGTCCACCAATAAACCATGTCCCTGAGCTCTACATCTACACATCTTTTAAATCCCTCCAGGGATGGTGACTCCACCACTTCCCTGGCCAGCCTGTTCCAGTGCTTGACGACCTTTTCGGTGAAGAAGTTTTTCCTAATACCCAATCCAGACCTCCCCTGGCACAGCTTGAGGCCGTTTCCTCTTGTCTTAGCGCTTGTTACTTGGGAGAAGAGACCAACACCCACCTCACTACAACCCCCTTTCAGGTAGCTGTAGAGAGCGATAAGGTCTCCTCTCAGCCTCCTCTTCTCCAGACTGAACAACCCCAGTTCCCTCAGCCGCTTCTCGTAAGACTTGTGCTCCACCTTCGTTGGCGTTCTTTGGACGTGCTCCAGCACCTCAATGTCTTTCTTGTAGTGAGGGGCCCTGCAAGGTTGGAAGAGATTTGCTGAATCACAGGAGCCAGCCTAGGATTAACATTTAGGTTAGTGGGAAACGGAGGTTATTTGAATTATTGCCCTTGCTGGGTGAATTTTAGAAAAGGGAATTACTGGGATAAAAGAGAGAAAATTTTGTAGACAACCTATAAATTTGGTAACTCCATATAAAAAGAGGTCTATAATGGACTTGCTTATATTCCTGACTTCACAGTGGTGTGTTGCTGAGACACAGATTTGGCATAGCATCATTTAAACCTGAGATTAGGTGAGACCTCAGTGGTAACAGCCTTAAAATCTGTGGATGAGAGGCTCTAGCAGCAAATTGCAGGCTCGAAATAAATAGCTTTAAAGCCATACGGCGCAAGAGAGGCTCCTTCCCCTGCCACCTTCTGTCCCTCATGGCTT